GTGTTTGTTATATTTTCACAATAATACAAATACATAATAACTTCCAAAGTGTTAATTAAACTAAATAGTACCAAGGATAAAAAGCATGTATGCTTAATGGTTAACAGCTACATGCACCCCCCTTTTCCACCCCTGCATTGTTCTCATGCATTTACAATGTGTGAATACCTTTTGGCTCCACAGTACAGTTTGACTCTTACAGATGATAGACAGCATTGTGTGTATATGTATGTATAAATATATGTGACACTCCGCAGGGAAGCGAGTAACCAAGGTTATGTTTAATTACAGAAACGCAGTCTAACCATAGCAACATGTACAAATCAGAACTTCTAAAAATTTATTCTGGCATTTTTGGCAAGAGTTCAGTGTACATGTGAAATGATTAGAACGTGTAGAAATGTACCCTATGGGGAGCCTTTAAGCTCTTTAATGACTACTTTGCAATGAAAGTGTATTAATTTAAACCAATGACCTAAGTGGAATATTTATTTGCACAAATAGAAAGTGTTTTATTTGTTTAAAATGGCTATAGAGCACAATAATTCTACAGATTTGTTTTTTAACTTGGCTTTTCTACACATATTACGTACTTATTTCATTCTCCGTAATGATATAATGGAATTCGCAAGCTGTAAACAGGAACTATTGATTGCAAACTATGGACAAAATGAGAGAAGGATATTATGTACTATACAAATGTCCATTAAGACGGGATAACGTAAGAATTACAAAGCAAACATGGCTGCAAGCAAAGGCTGCTTACTTTTGTATTTATTTGTTTTATTTTATTTATTTATTTATTGTCAATCATCACCTGTCTTATTGGATACTGAAAAATTTCTTAACAACCCTACAATTTAAAACAGACTATCACTGAGAAATGTCTTGCCGTTAGTGGAGAATAATTCATTTGCTTGTTCTTCATGTTTAAAAATAGAAATCCTGAGATCGTGAGAGAGCTACGTACTGCGTGTAGCATATTCTAGACTTGAAGTGTGTTGAGATGCTTGCATGACAGATTGGTATGCATTTCCAAGTTCTCTTCCATCTTTCAAATACCATATATATCATGTGATATGCATGGTATCTTCTAACCTGTTCTTCACACAAAAATACATACTAGCCATGATTGAAAACACCTATGCTTTTGAAAGCGAAGCAAACTTCCCAACTGTTTGTTTTAGTCACTTAATTGTTATGCTTTTTTTTCATTCTTATATTTGCAATATCAGCAAATAGCCTGTCGAGATACTTAATTAGAAAATGCTACGTTGTGTTATTTATTTGTGTATAAGCCTCATACTTTGGAGCACAAGACTTTAACGAGTTCTGGATTTTGCCAAATTTGGTGAGGATGTTTCAACAGAACACATACTTGGTAAGCATCAGGGAAGTATGTATCACTCTAGCAGGGGCATTATTAAGGGTGGGACGGGGGCAGTTGCGTACCCTATTCACCTTTTCATTTGTTTGCTCTTTAATTGAATGAAATCGATCTAACTGAATAAAGTAGATATCGAAAGAAAACCGCCACGTTTAATGCAAGAGTTTGCAAGAGCCCCAAAACTCGTAATCTGGATTTTACTCATTTTGCAGTGTGATCGGCGTTAATGTCAAATCTAATCCTAAAAAAAAAGGCAAAAAAGGCAATACTGGTTAAAAAGTAAACCCTTCTGAGATCCAGACAGAGTAAGAGACTGCACATTGTAGACTTTATTCTGGAATTCCATTGAGAAACTAATTCCAATTATGTTTGGGTTTTAAAGTATTTTTATACCTGTCTTTGTAGCTATGATTTGTATTGATAATACGCATATTCTCTATACAGTATTTTGATGTCTGGATAGAATCACTCCTATCACTGTGTTTAGCTGAAAGCCTGCTCTTACATGTTATGATATCCTGACCCTGCCAACGGCAGTAGAGACATTTTTGAAAGAACAAAACAGATGTTACCTTTCTGCCTTCTCCACCTTCCTGATTTAAAGCTCCTGCCATGTACAGATACAACGTGTGGCTCAGAGCCAAAAAGCTCCCTTCTTTATATATATTTATATTGTATGTGCTGAAGCTCATATAAAAACAAAATCAATGTCTACCTCTGTGTCTTCTCAGACAACTTGCCCACCCGCTCTTTGTTCTTTAATAACACCTTACCCATCAGCTGCTGTATGTGTCACAGTTTCCTAATGAATACAGTGGGGTTTATTTACTAAACAGTGAACTTAATACCACATTGCAGAAAGTTAGACTAAAATGGAGAAGTTGGTAAAGCAGTTGGCGTGAATGATATATCATCTGCCATCGTAAAATACACTATTTGCACTCACACCACTTCAGCTCATTGAAGTGGTCTGGGTGCAGTGTCCCTGTCCCCTTAGTCTTGCAATGTAAAACACGGACTAAGACTTCTTCCAGTGTCTGTCTCATTGACAGCCACTAGAGGCACTAGCGGTTTGCTAACCGACTTTTGGTCTCCTAATTGACACTGGACGTCCTCACACTCTGCATGAGGACATGCATCGTCAGGTAAATCTACATTGGTTGCTTCAATGCTTTCCTATGGAGAGGGCCAAATGTGCTCGCCGCTAATTAGCACCCCTCACCTTGGATGACAGTGGAGGAGGCGGAGCACCAACCCAATACTGAGGGAGATCGGCGCTGGAATTGGGTGAGTACATAAAGGTGTTCTAACCTTTCCATAATGGAGGGCCACGAGGGAGGGAGTGACTAGAGGGGGGAATACAGATTTGTGTTCCTAACACTATATAAATACTTTAATAGTAATATTGAGATGTAATCTAACATTAAAAGACACTATAGTCACTAGAACCACTATAGCTTAATGCACTCTGGTAAAGGTTCTACCAGGGAACTGATCCCTCTTCCAGGACCTGACTGTTGACACAAGCAGTTGGAATCGCTCAGCTAATCCCTAGGCTCCCAGTGGTTTCACTGATTAATTAGTTGGACTACTCTGCTCATATACAAGATTGGAAGCCTTAAGAATCTTATATATCCTTGAGTGGGGAATATTTCACTTCACGCTTTCCAAACCAGAGCTGTATTTAACCTCTGGACATTGTGAGTAGTTCCCTATTATTATACCTTCTGTTATCCAGTGTATTTATATACCATACCATTGGAGTTCTTTCTTCTGTTTCCTCTCCACATGCTCTACCGGATTACAAGCTTTATTCCTTAACACCACTACTATCAATTCAGCCTGCTGCTCCATAAAGAACCTTCCCTACTGTTTTGGATTACCTTACTTGGACTAGTGTTAAGTTACCTGGACTTTTTTTATACTGTATATATTTATTTAACTTACATATTTATTCCTCAAAGGTGCACCATTTTCTGTATTCTTTATCTTTCTTATTACGTTTGTTTTTGGGGGGACCCTCTTTCTATAGGTGTGTTGCCTATACTCTTTTACAAACATACCCCCTGTGGCGTGTTAGCGTTGATCTTTGTTTGATTTTTCTAATATAAACAATAGGTTTAAGTGTTTGAATAAGTCCCCCCCGCCCCCCTCTTATTCTAACACTTGAACCTCTTGTTTATATTACTATTGTATTACTGTCAGTTAAGTCTGTCCTGAGTGGCTCACTCCTAATAGTATCAGGTATTATGGCAAATAAAACCAAGTCAGTGCTATTAAAAGATAGATAAGAGGGGGCTCTGTGCAGAGAGTCTTATAGATATGCCAGATAATTACCTTATCTACAGGAAAGAGGAGAGTAAACTTAAAAGAAACATAAAAGAAAAATAAATGTGGCTACCAACAAATGTAGAAAAACCAAGAGAAAAGGCATGTCCACCATGATCATCTTATCAGTTTCAACAAGAGGCCGCCGGACCTCTCACAAATAAGTTGCAAAAATGGAAAAGGAACCGCACTCAATTCACTTAAGATAGGGTGCTTAGCTGAACCAAGGATCAGCACAAGCCCAGAAGATAATAAATACCAGTATGAGAAAAAGGATCCAGGCACTCCAATGTCTTCAGGCACCTTTTTTAGAACATGTGGAACAATGCAACACTCATGTGACGGCAGGTCTTGCAATGACAGGCAAATATGGCAATTCGCGTCCGAATCCAGGCCGAAAGGTAAAGCCTGCTTCTCACAATGCAAACCATAAAATGCAGACACAGGAAAAAAGGAAGCAATTTGTGGTAGAATTGAAAAAGAAAGCAGGAGTGAGAGTATTATAATATACGTATGATAATACAAAATAATTAAAACAGAAGGTAATAGAGCTACATAATTAAAATAGAGATAAGGGGAGGTTGTTCTTCTGAGAAGGGGACCAGTGATCAACAGAAAAGAACAAACGGATTAAGTAACAAACAAAGTAAGAAAATAATAATACAATTATGACAATTAATTTGATGAAGAGGAACAATGTAAATGTAGATATGTATAGTAGTTATGCAGAAGAAATACTCTGACCTGATCCAGGAGGCGAACAGCAAAGAAAGAGGAGTTACCTCAGTGACACTGCCTTTTTTTTTTGACATCTCTTTGTTTTGATTGGTTGTTTCTGTACAGTTTATTTTTGCTGCTATACGAAGGTGCAGTAAAGCAAGAATGCAAATATTTGCCTGCGGTCCTGTCATAAATGTTCAATTTCTAGTCTAGATTTAGTAAATATTCATGTAAATGCATATAACATAGGACAGTCTCATAATAATCTAATACATTTTTTTAAAAAAAATTTTTTTTTTAAATTCTTTATTTTTGTTGTGCAGATGAGTACAAAGCATATTCATACGCCACAACAGCGTACATTTATGGTTAAACATATGTTAAACAGTGGCATGGAAAATTTTGCACATTTTTGTTTAAGAAACAAATTAAGCTAGGCAGACATGTCTAAATGATAACAACCTGTATGAGATCAAACGTGCTTGCAGCCTCCTGACAGCATTGGTACTTAGAGGTCATACTTAAGAATAAGACAGTAGCATCCTCCGCATTTAAAAAAAAGTAACTAACTGGGTAATACAGGTTGTGTCAGAGAATGATAGGGCATGAAGTGTGAACATAACTTCAGGACCTTAGGTGAATCTGCACCATTTGTACAGTCTCCCAGCTTGTCCCTCTGACTCCTTGCGTCGGCTTGCACAGGCCTGCCCCTCATGAGGTAGGGATGATAGTCAGGGTTGCCGTGCGTTCCGTATCTCGCTGCCACCTGTCCCCTCCGTCTTCCACCCACTCTCGCTGCTTTGTAGGGGTGAGTACTCTGCGTGTCTGCGGCGCTCCTCTTCACATGAAGGCTTGAGCGGCGTGTGGCTTGGTGGTGTCGTGGCTTCGTGCTGGTCCTTGCCTTGTGCAGGTTGTATGTTGCTAGGCGGCCGCCGGGCTTTTGGCGGCGTGGCTGTGTTCGAGGCCCCAGTCTCCGCTTTCCATTTCTGGGCACTGCTGTAGGTTTCCCAGCGGGTCTTCTTTTAGTTGTGCCTCGCTGCAGGCGAGGGTGGAACGGTGTATCAGGTACAGATTTCTGCTTCCTACCGTGGAGCCGTGCAGGTAAGTTGGGGATATCGAGTTTGCTGGCTATGCGGGTCCAGAAATTGCTGCATAGCTGTTCGAATCGGGCCTCGAAGCTCTGCACCCAGTCTAGGATCTCCACGCTTGCCTGTTGTAGGGAATGCTTCTGTATGGTGGCCATTTTTGCTCCACCATGTGGTCTGGGATTTTACCGTCGTCGAGCTGTTCAGGTTTGTTGCTTGCCCAGTGCGGACCAGGATAACCCCCACCGGTCCAAAGTGGGGGGGCAACGGGGTGTCTGTGTCGGTGCCTCAAACCCCAGCGGGAGATCGGCCGTCTTCCCCAGCTGTCGGGTCCGCCGTCCAGGTGGGCCGCAAGGTAAGCCGGCTGCTTTTGGTTTGCCAGAGCAAGTTGTTTGGGGACCTTTTATGTCCCTGTCGATAGAAATGTATGTCGTGTCAGCTGCTGTGCCTTCTACTGCTATTTTCTTGCAGATTTAGTAGTTTTAATGGTCGTGCTGGCAGGAGCCCACAGAGACACGTCTGGCCAGATTGCGAGTCAGGCCCCGCCCCCCAATCTAATACATTTATTGATGGTTCTTCGGCAGTTTTCAAAGAACTTCCTTGAAATTGACTCAAAATACATATAAAACATTTTTTGTATTTTTTATTTTTTATTTTTTCACTAAGCAGTGAATCATAGTTAAATATAAATAATTAACCAAAATAGCCAAGTAGGAAAAGTGCATAAATTGGAAAATAAATCCTATTTGGCTGTTTTAGTTTTTTGGGGGTTTTTTTTGGTATATTTTGTATTTCACTGCTGAGGAAATAAACTCCCTGGTGCCTAATCGTATTTAAGCGTGACCACACACAATGGCAAATGTTATTTAACTATGAAGCATACATCCTTTTGTTTTCATGGTACATGGAATTTTTTTTCTGGATCAGCAGCCCCAGTTTCTGACATATTTTGGGTTACTCTTTATATTGATGTCAAAACAATCCCTTAAGCAATTTTGTCTGTCTACAGCATACTATCATTTACTAACTGCCCCCACTAACATGAAGTTAACATTTTAGTTTTTTACAGTAGTTGCATACCTAGATGGGGCCAGACATGAAAATATGTTTTCGTGTTATGCCTTAAGGTACTTTAATTCTCTTTTGCTCAAAGTGGAAGAAGTTAACTCTTTGCTTTAAGTTGCATTGCCCTTTTCATTACAGAGATTTGTTTTAGGCATGTACCAATGTGGGGCTCTGCCGTAACTTTTATTATCACAATAGATTGAAAAGAATATCTAAACCTTTTGTAATAGATCCTCTGGGCCAGAACCCAAATTGTAATCGCCACCCTATTTTTGTGGATGATAGGGTCACTCTAAGCACCAGAACAACTTAAGCTTAATTAACTGATTTTATCGTATAGATCATGCTTCTGCAGTGTTATTCCTCAATTCTCTGATATTTAGGAGCTTACATCACTTTGTTCCCCTGGCTCACACAGCTTTCCTACACACTTCCTGAAAAAAAAGTCTAAACGTTTTAAACTTCCCTTATTGCACAGTGCGTTTAATTTAGAATTTATTATCTCACCCGCTGTTGATTACCTGCTAGAACCTGTAGGAGTCGAATGCATGTGGTTAAAGTTTAATTAACAAAGCAATCTTATAAAGTAAACACACTGTGCTATAATACCTATTACAATGTGCTGTAGATTGAAAATGAAAAAACTTTTAACGCCATGTTGGCTTTGTGAGTCACAGGCAAGTGGGATGTGGCTAGGGCTGTATAAACAGAATCAAAGTGAATTAAATTCTAAACTAAATTCAACTACAACATCTTATATGGGTTCAAATTCCTGGGCTCTTTTGTGTTGCAAGTTTAATATCTTACTTTTATTGGCACTAACTTGGCTTTGATCTTATTTATGATATATATGGGTAGTTGTACAACATAGTGCAGTAGTTTTATTCTTTATTTGATTGTGCATTCAGCAGCATTTGTCCCTGATGAAGTCCCCGGAGGTGACAAAACATGTTGGACTGTTATTTGCTGTTTCTTACTTATGTGTAAGTAATAAAGACTTCTTTTTGCACTTTGCTTGGTCTTTGTTTTACAATTTGCACTTTATTCCTTTCTGTTCCACTACACATGGAATTGAAGTGGACGTAAAGTGAGGACCTGGCAGATGAGCTTCATGAAAAAGATTTTAGAAAGGCTTAATTTTAACTAGATAATGGTGAGTGGCTAATTGGAACTTACTCACTGCACTATGTTGTATTTCTTTTTTCCTTAGCAGAACCACCCTTATATACCATATAAATGTTAGATCTTAATTTCCATTCACTACAGGGGTTTGTGTTCAGCTTTGTATATTTATTTCATGTTGATCTTATTTTTCATGGTAGCTCAGACATGAACAGCAAATATCCAGAAATATTACAGGTGGGGGATAAATAGTTCATCAAGGAAAAGCTTCAAGAGGTGGGACAATCATTAGGAACATTTCATTGGTTTCCGTTGTGAGTGCTCCACATTTCGAGTTTTGCCCTAGAATTTCTCTTTGCAAAAGGTTCAAAAGACCTACTGAAAGTTTGCTCCAAAATCTTTACGTTGGCTCTGAAAAAGCTTCATTCAAAACGTGGAGCTCAATACCCTAGAACAGAACAAGCAGATTCCAGAAATGTTTTTATGATTGAAATAGCACAACACATCAAACCAAAACAAAATGTTAGATCAATAGATTTACACAAGTATTCTCAAAAAAAAAAAAAAAAAGAGAGAATTTGGGCTGTTGCTAATCCTCCTCCTAAACTGGTTGATGGTGTCTGTTATTCTCATGGGTGTGTAAGGACTATTTATGGACTCCTTGGGGGTATAAAAGATTAGCTGTACATACTTTCTCATGTGCCATTCAGCTTAAGTATAAGTACAAATAATTTGGAAAAAAAAGGATACAGAACACAGGAATACCTTTAAGAACCATTAACATTACAATACACTTGTTGGAACAAAGGTCAGGTACCTAAAGCTGGTTCTTGTTAGAATTTCTAAATTATTGAACAGTCCTTCAGGACTAAATTTATAGTGTGGTATCAGGTGTTTAAGCCTGAATATATAATACACAACTGCAAACTCATAAAAATCAGATTTGTGTTTTGAATACTTTTACTATACAATTTTTCATCTTGCTCCCAAATTTGTTAATGTATTACAATTGAATTTAAAGGGACACTATAGTCACCAAAACAGCTATTTGTTCTGGTGAGTAGAATTATTCCCTTCAGGCTTTTTGCTGTAAACACTGTCTTTTCAGAGAAAATACAGTGTTTACTTTACAGCCTAGGGATACCTCCAGTGGCCACTCCTCAGATGGCTGCTAGAGGTGCTTCCTGGGGCAGTGCTGCACCTACATTTGAGCAGGGGGGCAGGGAGGAGAGAGGGGTAGATGGTGGTTTTAACACTATAAGGTCAGGAATACATGTTTGTGCTCCTGATCCTATAGTGTTCCTTTAATTAACAGTGCATTCTAAGTATTTATAAAGACAGGTGTAGGTTTTTGCTTGACTTTAACAATAGACACAAACATATATTTTAGTCTGTACAATACAACATGCTCCTGATTGCAGGGATGGATTTAAATGTCAGGTGCCTGTAGGCACTGAATTCTAAGGCGTCATTTGCCCCTCCCTAAACAAAAAACAAGTGTCTGACAACTGCATATATATGTATGTGCATATTTCTGCTTGTAATGTAGTGTGTTTGAATCTGTGAGTACAGTGAGAGTATGCAGCTGTGTAAATACATTTAGGGTTCAATATGATGTTAGAAGTGGTTAGAGTAAAGGGGGGTTAAGATTAGACAGGTGTACAATGCAGAGTTAGATTACATGGGGTGTTTAGTGTTTAGAGGATTAGAAGCTTGGAAGGGGTTACAGTTGGGGTATAAGCAGTGTTTAGAATTACTGGGCTTAGGGTTAGAGTGGGGTTAAATTTAGTATTGGAATACATGGGGTATTTAATGTTTAAGAGAAGTTAAACCTAGGATAAAGGTAAATGGTTTTGCGTTTTTCAGGTTTACGCTTAAATAAAATTTTGAAATAAGGAATGTATTTGTTTAGGGCAGCGTTTCCCAATTGTTGTTCCGAGAACACAAATGGGGTTCCGTCAAAATTGCCGCGGGTGGCAAGGGAGCAGTGGGCAGTAACCTCCCTGCTCAGCTCCCTCGTGCGCACAGCAGTGATGCTGGAGCCGGAATACGACCTTACTCCGGCATCACTAAGAAGTGCATGAAGGAGGGGTTCAATGATGTTGCTACACTATGTCAAAGGGTTCTGGTAAAAATTGATTGGGAACCCCTGGTTTAGGTTATGGAATTGTTTAAGAGTTATTTAGGGAAAAGGCATGTGGAGTTTGAAGGAGTATTTCCCCCACCTATGATTGACAGTAGAAGTGCAGGAGCTTTTACACAGTGTGCATCACTTGGTGCTGTCCCTGCATCTCCTGTAAAGCACTTCCTGTTTGAGAGGCTGTTAGTGGGCAGATGGGAAGTGATCTCTTCCACTTCCTGTGCAGCCTCACACACATACACTGGAGGAGCTGAAAGGATACTGAGTTTTACACCCACTATAACTGTTCCTGTAGCTCTGCTATCAAACATAGGAGACTGACTAGATTGCAGAAGACACCGACCAAGGCTTCTGATACTTATCTCCCCTTATTAGCCCATCTAATCTCCAGAAAGGCACATTATAAGTGCTTCAAATAAGCGCCCCCTACAGAGCTGGCACCTGTAGGCAGGTGCTTACTGTACCTTATGGAAAATACAGTCTGCCTGATTGGCCTCAACTTCTGTGTATGCACAGCCAATGAGAGTTAAGTGTGAGGTGAGCTGCCAACGTGACTCTGCCCCTGTCAGGATTACAAGTTGATCGAGCACACAGTACTGTGTCACACCTAGGACTAAGGATAAC